GCAGCAGCAGCAGCAGCAATAATAATAATAATAATAATAATAATAATAATAATAATAATAAGGCAGCTGTTTGGGCATCAAAGTTCTTCTTGCACTCAATTTAGGACTTTCTTGAGCCTATGTTTCTTCCACCTGAGGACTTCTGGCTTTAAAAACAAAGGTGCTTCTTTTGTCATCACTTGAATAAATAATCTGACCTTAGAGAATTGACTTTGCAAGTAATGGTTACTTCTTCCAGTGGAAGAATACAACCTCACTGAAATTGGGAGCTTTCAGTGAGAAAAACCCCAATACAAACAAAACTGATGGTTTATCAGTTCAGTGTTAATATAACTTAATTCTTCCATTTAAATATAATCAAATCAAACTAGCACCAGAACCCAGACTGTTAATTAAAAAGAGCTTATAAAGCAAAATCACAAATGTCACCTTCATTGTAACTGTTATAACCATGACTGTGAAGACCAGAGTACCAAAGGTCCAATTTCCAAACATCTAAAAAGGAAAACAAGATACTTAATTAGGTGAAAGATACTTAAGATGCAACAGTGTTATACTAACAAAACTAATCCTACCAGAAGCTCAAATGAACACTTGCCCATTTAGTACAACTCAGTAAAATCAGAAGGGCCAAACACAAAACAAACCCAAGAACAGGTATGGCCTACAAAATCTAGATTCCCACTGGATATGTTATCTTCCTCCACAAATCACAAGTTTGTCTGAACAGATTTTAAAACCCCAAAGGAAAGAAGACTGAAGGAAATCACCAATCAGCCAATTATACATAGTGTTCAACTAATGAAAAATTCTAATGCTGTATTAAAACACAATTAGCCTCTAATCACAGGAGGCAGCGGGATTTTCTTCAGTGTAGCATGATGTATAAATTTGCAATTGACATGCTCTCAAAGAGTGGATTTAGAATTTTAATATACACTTTATTTTGGAATTAATCAAAATCAGAAATCAACCCTGCCATTTTTAAAAAAGCCTTTTAAGATGACTACTCTGCAAGCCAACACACTGTTGTCTGCACTTCACCAACTACAAGGTATATGCACTGTACTGAAAGTTCCAAGTAGAACCTACATTTCTGTGATTTAAATTATTTCTGTAAAATGCACTTTGAACAACAGAAAACAGGGTTTGGCCTTCTTCTGTATGACTTCCTTTTAGCTATTGGAAGAATACTACTGGATCCATCCCACCTAGTCCTGCTTTCTCTTCTTAAATATGACCAGTTCCTCCTACCTCTCTTCACCTCAGAACCTATTCCAATTTTACTGCATCCTTCTTGAAGTGTGGTACCAAGAATTGGACAAGTACTGGGAGGTGGGGGGTGGGGAGGGGAAGAGGGGATCTATGAAAGCAGAATAAAGTGAACTGGTTACTTTCCATGATTTAGAACTTATACTTCTGTTCATGCAGCCTAACATGGCATTGCCTCTTCACTGTTGACTCATGTTCACTTTGTAACCAATTATTATTCTAAGAAATTTTCAAGACGTACTGCTATCTAGCCAGATATGCCCCAATGTAGACCTGAATGTTTGATTTCTGTTTCTTAAGTGAAAAAAATTGCAGTTGTCCCTGCTACATTTCTCTGCGTAATTTTTCAGCTCATGTCTCTAATGAATCAGGATTATTTTGAATGTAATTGCTTTCGTTCTAGGGTACTGGTTACCCCATCCAATTTAGTGTTATCTGCAAAATCTGATAATTATTTCCTTTACCATATAATGAAAAATCTAGACTTATGTACTTATTTCTTGAAAGAGCTAGACTGTGTTAATTTATTTTCTCTTCATTTCATGAACTAACTCCTTACTGAAATTTCTCATTTCCACTATCTTTAGATAATGGGTTTGTAAAATGCAATTGTTCTGCTTACTTGTGTTGCAATGCTATAGTAAGCATTAACTTGGTAAACACAGATCTTTTTTGAAGAAAAAATCCAGTATATGCATGGGGGGGAGGGGGGGAGAGAACATCCACTCATTGTACTATATTCACTTATTCCACTACATTCTAGTGAAGACTAGAAATTATTCCAAGCCAGAAAAGGGATTTTGGTTCACAGGTCAACAGGGAAGTTATCCAATTCTTCCTGCAACAGAGCAAAACCCAGCCCCTAAGGAAAAGGCAAATCCCACAATCAACAGCAGTGCTGTCCTCTCATTTTCTACCTATTAATTACACAGCGATCCTTTTTTAATTCTCCTTTTCTTGGACTGCTATCTGCAACCAGGCAATTGAAAATCCTGAGAACTGAGAAAAATCTGGGCTTGGTGAAAGCTGAGGATGCATGTCCCCTTTACCTAAAGATGGCTTGTCTACAAAGAGCTTTCCTAAGCTGGCAAGCAAGCAACACTACTAATTAGCAGATGTTTGCTATGGTGACTGTTAGAGGTGAAAGAGAAGAGGATCCTGGTAAACACCCCAAACCACCCACAGTTTGTGTGAGAAAGGCAGGGGGTGAGGAGACAGAAGACAAAAAGCACGTAACTGAGCAAAATTTCACTAGTACACAAGAGCCTTTCCTTGAACACTGCTGGTTGTCTAGAACGAGAGAACTGGAAAGTCCTTCCAATCAGTTTCTTTTAATATGTTCAAGGAGAATGAGTGATGCATTCTTGAATACAACTACAAAGGTACTGCATCTAGTGTCTGCACAAGTTTTATCCTACAACATAAAATCTTACCATTTGTCTGTTAGGTTTGAGTATCTGATGACATGCCACAGCATGGGAAAAAAAAAAGGGGGTGGGGTAGAAGGAAACTAAAAAGTCAAAATTGCAGTACAGCATTACAGTGCAAAGCTGTATCAACCCAAGAGAATTCACACATGACAATGTGGATTCTTTTTTTCTGCATGCCAGCTGTACTGAAATCAAGAGTTAACCCATGATGTACTTTTGTACTCCAACTAAAATTGGTGGGCAATGGTTAGAATATCCCTGATTTCTGATGGTCCCCACAGAATGACACAGAAACCAAGTCCACCCAGGGCAAGTTAGTTGTGTAACTGAAATATAACAGATCGCAAATAAGGTAACTGAGAGGAATGCGGGGAATGAGTTTTTGCCCAGCTCCATCCCTTTCCAGGAGATGCTTGTCCACAAGCTGTTAATAAATAACCTGGGGACTCAATCCTCTGAGAACTGAACTGAGTTGCAAATTGTGGATAAATCCGGAGGAAATACACTACACAGAATATAAAACAGACATTTGGGCAGCTCACAGTCAGCTCCTGAAATCCCAGAGTTAATATCGAACTCAGTTTGATACCTCAATCTAGAGATTATTTACGTAATGGTTATTATCACCAGCCAACTAAAGCTTATACTTTTTCAAAGAAGTTTGAATTTCAATAACTATGTTAATTCTGCTTCAAATCTACATAAGAACATGTTAAGAAAGCACACACACTTACAACTGATATATGTTTTACAATGATTCAGTTTACACAGCCCAACATTACATACCCCAGCGTATGGTTTTCACAGTAGGTTAGCATTCTATTTTACCTGGCCATTTCCTAGCAATGAAGTGTCTTTTCCCATCAGAAGATAGGAGCCAAAGAAGAAAACAAATGCATGAAAAAATCCTAAGAAGGTCCAGTAGAGGAAAGGCTTAAAGCCCAAATGGGCATTTTTACTGATGTCTCTGTGGAGAGAGATGAAAAAAAAAATGCTTTGGATGCTATTTTCAAAGGAACTAAAATTACTGTAGTGCACGATGACATCAATGTATGTAAGATCATGTTTTAAAGTTTTAGGAACAGTCCTGAAAATCAGCTACCTACCTTTTCACTTATTCTGGGAAATGGCAATGAATATTCTTGAAAAGTTGAAAGGAACCAAATATCGTACTTCCTATTGCTAAATATTGACCTTGAGATGTCTAATGGCCACTTGGTACTAAAGGCTAATATGGTTTGGGAGATAAGATGATGCTAATTCCTATTTAACTTTTTCCCATTCTTCACTCTCCAATTACAATCTTTAGTCAATGAACCAGCTTGACCAAAGTGTGGTCAGCTCACCAAATAAATTTGAGGGAGGTATCATATAAACAGATACATTATTTTAGTAGGAAAAAATGGTATAATTCAAATCAGAAATCTCTTTATCACTAGTTTCTTTCAGGAGGAATAGGAGGGGGACCTCAAATTAATCACATAGCATTATTTAGCGAAGTTTATCAAAACCTACAATTCAAGTTTAGGCACGTTATGGCTGCATTTGCACACTGCAGTCAGGAGAGGAGGGTCTAGATTTCAGGGATTCTTCTGGACTCATACACATTCCCTGGGAGTGGAAAACAATCGGGCTGCATGCCATTGAAAGCTGGTGTGGTGTAGTGGCTAAGGGCTTGGGGAGATGCAGGTTCCTATCTCACAGGTTTGTTGGGAAAAATAGCAGGAAGAAGCACTATATATACCACTTTGAGTTCCTGTGCAAAAAAGGTGGGATATAAATCAAACAAACATTCAAATAAATGAATAAATGAAGGATGAGGCTGAAGGCAGTGATAGGTGGGGCTAGAGCTGAACATGAGCACATCACCTATTTTCTTTCTCTCTCACTCTCTTCTTCCCAGCAAGCTATTAATGAGATACAGATCTTCTTTCCACAAAGTGTTAAGCCAACTGCTTGTAAAGGGCTTCTGAAATTATGCTGACAATCACAATTTGCACATCCCCTGCTTTCTATACTCTGATTCTTAGCCCAGTGTCTTCTTTTTCTCTGTCTTGTAAAAGTTATCCATATCCCAGACAGAGGAATTTCTGGCCTTGCTTCCAGAGACTCATTAACCGAAGGTGGCAGAACTGACCCTAAACCCTTAAGATATAATGGATATTCTCCATCATGGCCTAACAGCAACAGGGATTACGCTAACATTTCAAATGAGCATTAGCCGGTTCTACAAACAACCTGTTCTTTAAACACACACTTTGGGTCTCTGACAAATGGTTTCCAAGTAGGAGGAACTGCAGAACTTATCTCTTACAAAGCAAAATCCTCTCCTAAAAAGAGCATGCTTACCGGTAGAGTGCTGGCTTGCTGTGTAATACGTGAGGATGTACGTGCTGTTCAAAAAGACTATACATAAGGATTGGCAGGGAAGTGAAACAAATGTTGTACAAAGTTAGGTACACGCTGTCGTACAGAGTCTGAAATGTGAGAAAGGTGGAGAATTGGTGATTTTTTAAAAAGTCATGTACAGAGAACTCAGCTAAGAACAATCTAAAAGTTTTTTTGATATATCCCAAAAATATTAACAAAGAAGGAATGCAGCAAAGCTAGCCTCTGCGACTAGAAGCTATACAGCTATAAAGAATTATTACAATTTCCTTCCACACCTTACTTAAATTTCTTTTTCTCCCTTTCAAAGACAAATGATCTTAATGCTCTTTCCTAAAAAAATCACTGTGAGAGAAGTCTTACAAGAACGGGAAAAATAACTTTTAGTCCTAGTTAAGTATGTATTAACAGACATTCCTTGGTGCAACATCCAAAATGCTGTGAAAAAGAACATCAGCCTGGAAAACGGGGTGTGGAGAGGGAGGAGGCTTTAACATTAGGCAATGTTACACAGCCACTTTAGATGATAGATGTTGGGTGGTCAAGAAAAGGCCTGTGGGTTTTTTTTCTTATTGAAGCAGAAAACTGTTTGTCACCAAATGCAATACAGACCATCCCATGACCCATGTAGAAGAAAAGAAAGAACTGAAGCAGCTAGAAGGAAAGGCGGGGCGGGGGTGGGCACCCGCTACCATCTTATTCTTCACTTGTGGCAGAAATTCCTTGAATTAGTTCTTCTGCTGTATCACCCAGCTTCTTTTAAGTTAACCCACTTTTTAATTTCATATTATTGACTGTTTAGAATAATTGTTGTATATTCTAATTAATTAAATTTATTTTATTTTAATTTTTATTTATTTTAATTAATATTTATTCTGTTTTTACTGCGAACCGCCCAGAATTGCTCTGTAGTGAGATGGACGGTGACAAATTTGAAATCTATCTATCTATCTATCTATCTATCTATCTATCTATCTATCTATCTATCTATCTATCTATCTATCTATCTTAAAATACTGGATCTGGAGGTAGGAAAAACAGGCTGTGTTAAAACTCAGTTACTAATCATTCTTAAACAGGGCCAATCAGGATTACCAGTAGTCTTTACTAGGTTATTTATAAATACATATATTAGGATAAGTTAGAATTTGCCAGAATTCATAATGGAGGAAGAGGAATTAATTTCAGAAATGCAAGAAAGCAAGGACAAACATTACTGGCTAAGGAATAAAGTGAGTTATAATCCAGCACACCTTAAATTTAAAGGACTAGTATAAATTTAAATTAGCTAAATCTGATTAATAAGAAAATCCCTTCTTGATATGGCTATAACTGTGCCCACTTGTTCCCCAGATACAAAATGAAATCCATTTTTTAAAAGCCCTTTTAGCTCTCTAACATAGAAAAAGAATTAGCAACTAATTAGCACTATCCGAAGATAGATATTACTTTGACCAGACTGTAACTCTTATTCTGCATGGAATTCTTAATACAACTTCCAGTTTTTACCCTTATGGTTCCCTAACAATAAAAGGATTCCCCACAAGAAATGGGATTGCTCTTGGATATAATTTTGCAGTGTTAGAAAATTTAAAGGAATTATTTAGGGCTGGAGAAAGAGATACTACTGAAACATTATCTAGCTGTTAGTTATAGGTATTTGATTTCAGTTCTGATACAGTGTTCACTTCTTGGTGGCCACCTACAAATCAGAGTGTGATGACAGAAAGAGAAGAGGGGGAAAAAAATCCAGTTGAGTACTCACTTGTTGTGAAAACAAACAGAAGAATTGATATAAAAACTGTGGTGTAATAAAACACACATTCTGGAAAACAAGATGTGATGCAACCAGTTACAAGCATAAAACGTCAAGTTCTGCCCCAACCCTCCTCCCAAACATATCTTGAATATTAAGAGAAGCAAAAAAACTTTTGTCTACTGAGATTCATCATCCAGATGGATAAATGCATCACTGACTGGAATTAAACTACTCTTTGAAGGAAGTGGTAGAGTGAAAGTTCTTCCACAAGGCACCCAGGTTCCATCAGTGTCAGAGCCAATGAAGCAGTCTTCACTAATACCACCACACCAATCCAGTTCATATTTAGCAGCTCCACAACTCCTTGTTTGAAACAAGAAGCATGTGCTCTTTCTTGATGCCTGCCAGAATGCTTCATCACACATTCTTGCCTTTTAAATATGATCTGCATGAGGTGCACACCAAAGGAGGTCACAGTCTCTTTTTAATCTAGACCTGTGTTTTTCAGCCTTGGCAAGATGTGTGGACTTCAGCTCCCAGAATTCCCCATCCAGCTCTGAATTCTAGAAGTTGAAGGTCCACACATCTTAAAGTTGCCACGGTTAAGAAACACTTATCTAGACTCTCCAACCATGATTACAAGTGGATTTACAAGAAATAATTTTAATGCAGATACGTTATGGCTTGGAAGCAAAGAAAATGGTGACAAGTTAGTGGAAGACAAGTTTTTGTGCAACTGCCTCCTCCCAACTGTGATTTTTTAGCACCTCTCTGAAATATGGAAGGTACTACTGAATGGAGAGACTTTAGTTACCAAAGGTTGTTTTCCTTAGAGACCAAGACTTTATGTTTATGTTTTGGTTTAAAGAGTTGCTTCTATGCTTTCTATAGAATGTTACAATATATTTTCTTTTTTCTTAGCTGCCTGGAACAATGAGGAAAGATGGGGTGAAACTTTAGGTACCAAACTCCACTTGGATTGTTCCATTTGTGTCAGCTGACATTCAATGCAATTAAGGGAATCAGGAGGAGGAAAAATGAACAGGATGGAGATATTTGTGCATGCATTCCTGCATATGCAGACACATGGATCTTGTGGGTTAGCCTCTGTATCGTCTTATCGCAGTTAGCATGCTGACAGTGTTACACTGGTGCTTGAAATAAAGCCTGGGAAAATGCTAATGTCAACAATGAGATAGGAGTAGATTCAGTTTCTACAATACCCCCTTTAAATGTCTCCCCACTAAACATTAGAAGTGCCAAGCATAATCGTAATGACAACTGTGTATCAGAGTTTATGTACTACTTCACTTTTGTAATTAAGCCCAATATTTAAAAACGAAAAGTTTGGAGCTAAAAGAATCCCCAATTCTGCAGAAGCTTACCTTGTAAAAAAAGTACTGTACAAGGGTCGCTACCCTAATATAGTAAAGGTGGCCATGGACAAAAAGCAACTTAGAGAGGAATTTAAATCTTGCTATTGCATAGTCACTGTTTCTTACAGCTTGTCTGCCTTCTTTGCCCATGATACCTGTAATTTGGGTACACAAAAGTAACAAAATAAACTTGTCTTCCTAAGCATGATGACACATATAAGTGAAAGTGAAACAACATATGCAACAATAATGGAAGATTCAGCCCTTTTAAGTGCTGCTTGGAGATTTAAAGGAGGCCTGACCAGATAAGAACACCCCTTTTATTCTACAAATGAAAGAGAAAAGGTTGTGTACATGCATAGGTATTTCCTATTGTTCCTCTACACAACCAAGCTCTTTTTTCATGGCAGGGTCCAGAAATATTGGGGGGACAGCTACTTCTACTGATAGCCATTCTCACCATCTACTATCCTACTCTAGAGCAGCAGTTCTCAAACATTTTGGTCTCAGGACCCCTTTACATTCTGCTGTATGATTGAGGATCCCAAAGAGCTTTGGTTTACATAGGTTATATCTATCCATATGTACTGTATTAGAAATTAAGACTGAGAAATGTTAAAATATTTACTTATTTGACTTTGCAGACCCTTGAAAGAGTCTCAGGGACCCCCAGGGCACACTTTGAGAACCGCTTGGAAGCAGCAGTCAACCACCAATTCCCACAGAAAAAATGCCAATTATTCCTACCTTCAGCCTTCTTTCCCAACCTAGGATCCTTCAAATATGCTAGGACTATAACACCCAGCCACCATTAAACCCACGGCACATCTGGAGGGCATCAAGTTGTAGAAGGCTGGGTAATTAATTTAATTTAATTTAATTTAATTGGCTTATATTGCCACTCCAATCTGAAAAGATTTTGAGTGGACTGCATTTCCATCTTACAGTAAGACGATTAAAAGAAAAACAGTATAATAATCTAAGAACTAACAATTACAATTACTAAATTACAAAGAAAATGTTTGCATCTGAGGAGCATTCAAAAACCCATCTGGGACTCATTACTTATGCCTTCCTAGGTCTCTGTTAAAAAGCCAAGTTTTAACAGCTTTCCTGCATCTTAACAGGTTGGGAGTGATTCTGAATTTGGGATGATGCTCTGAAACTGAAAAGCCTTTTCAGAAGACGTTCCTGGTTGACAAGCTGGATATAAGCATGCTTTATTTATTTAAATATGTTTTACTTATTATTTAACTGAAGGGCCCCTGTCTTCACAGTATCTAGTTTATCACTTCAATTTTTCATCTATGGAGATGATACTCATTATAATCCCACTTAACGAAGTTTAAAAACAATGAGACTTTGGCCATCACCTAAATATTACCTATGCCAACATGAGCTTCTTGTATCATGCTCACATCATTAGCTCCATCTCCGATAGCTAATGTGATAGGCTTCTCTGGAGATGTTTTCAGCAGCCGAACAACCTGTAAAGGAAAAACAGACTTGTTTAAAACAAAATTGAGATTATTTGAGAATCAATGATTTGAGATATTGAAGTTTCTCAGCAAACTCAATAAAGGGCAATGCTTGAAACTCAAATATTTAACCAAGACGTTTTCTAATAAGATGGAAAATAATCAAGAGATTAAGTCTGTATCTTTAATAGAGCTGTATCAATTCTGTGTGCTTCCAAACAAAGCAAGAATTTACTTCCACTGAAAATTGAATGAAGGAACATTAGCTTTGACCTATGCTCAGTGTCTCCTGATCTAAACATCAATACAACATAAATCCAACTATGAAGGTTTTATTTTTTTTCCTCACAGCAAACATGGCCTATAACTAAAATGTCTCAGAACTAGTTTACTTGGCTTCTTCTCTTAAAATCTCAGGAAAGCTATCTTAGAGAAAAGGAACACACCCTTCTGTATTAGAGGTGGGGAACCTCTGCCCCTCCAGAAGTTGCTAAACTACAACTCCCAGCATTCCTCACGTGCTCATTGGGACTGAACTTCTAAAGAACCACAGGTTCCCTACTTCTATCCTAGATGGTCCAAAATTTCTTAAAGAACCCCTGATGTGATTTAAAAGTTGCTCAGTGACCAAGAGTTTGGAGGTCTTCAACTGAGACCTCACCTCAGCCTTATTTTAACCAGGTAATGTTAAGTAAGTTACTGTGCTTGAGACCCATATTTACTCTACCTTAGAGGGATATTGAAGTAAGGTACATGGTAAGAGTTCTGAAGACTTTGAAGCCCTATATATTTACAAGGCATAGGTAAACGTGTACTTATTTATCTCTCACAACAACAGGGAGACAGCTGGGCTGGCTGTGATGAGGTTTAATTTGAAAGCTTCCTAGCTTTTTTATTTTATTTATTTATTATTAAATTTGTATACCGGCCATTTCCCCCAACAGGTGACTCTGGGTGGCTCACAATTAAAATCAAAAACCTATTAACAATTAAAAATACCCCCTAAGTAATTAAAATTAATTAATCTATTAAAAGTCAACTGTAAAACAAACTCTAGATATAAATACTAAAAACATTCAAGATGATGGGGGGGGCAAAATCAATTACCCCACAAGCCACCTTCACTGATGCGAGCCCCCATCTGGCCCCCAGGCCTTCTGGCATAGCCAGGATTTCACACCTTCCCTAAAGGTCATGAGAGTGGGGGCACACCACACCTCGGGAGGTAGGCTGTTCCACAGAGCGGGGGCCATAGCAGAAAAGGCCCTCTTCCTAGATCCCACCAGTTGAAATTACTTGACTGGTGGGGTCTGCAACATGCTCCTTCTGCCAGACCGAGTGGGACGGACTGATATAACAGGGGCGAGATGGCTCCTCAGATAATCTGGTCCTGTGCCATGAAGGGCTTTTACTTGCTATGGTATATTTAGACCTCAACTTTCCAGAATTCCTACCCAGCAAAGGTGAAACGAATTGCTATACCAAGACTTTGGAGGGTGACAGGCTGGGAAAAGTTGGTGTACGATGCAATGGTGCACAGTGCTCCCTCGGGCACATGCCAATCATACAGCAAGACAGACAAGAACAGGCCCTACTGTCTATCTGTTGTGTAGAGAGATAGACAGGGGTTATTAGGCAGAACACTTCTTCAAAACGCATCCTGAAACAGGACGGCTGAGAGAAGGCTGTGGCAGGTTATAGCAGCCAAACATGGCTGATGTTCAGCCTTCATCAGCTTCCGATTACTCACCTTTGCTTTCTGCAGAGGTGCCATGCGACAGCACAGCACAGCAGAGCAATTTCTGCAGACCTCCATGAAGAGTTTCTCGTGTTGCCTGAGGGCAAGGGAGAGACTGGTTCCATCCACTACCAGCCCGTGCTGGATTACGTGGTCATCTTTTATTCTAACAAAGGAGGCAGAAAATGGGACAAACAATTCCGTTATTGTTTCATGAAGGCCACCAGTCAGACGCATCAAATGCTTTAAGAGCAACTACAGACAATAACAACCAGTGAACTATGAACCCTTCCCACCTGCAAAGCAGCAGGCTCATTAGCATCTTGTATGCTTCTTTTGTAGCACAGAAGATAATGTAACAGGACTGCTTTATTTTCATATTGGAGAGTTCTGCATTAGTACTGCCAAAAACATTGGAAATGCCCTATTTTGAGTTTAAACCAGCTGTTCTGACCTGACCAAACGTGTTCTTGATGCTGTTTTCAACCATTCCAGAAGTGTTCTGAGTTCAAAATAGGGACATTTTGAGCTTAGAGTATTTCTGGTAATGTCAACTCAACTTATTTGTGATTGAAAACCAAGTTTTTCTAGCTTACAGTCAGGTGTCTGTTGAAAAAAAAGTTTTGGAACGTTTTAGAACAGCGCTTCTTACACTTTTTTTCTCTTAGGACCCCGTCCCACTTTTAAAAATTATGGAGGACCCCAAAAGAGCTTTTGTATGGGTTATACCTATCAATATTTACCGTATTAAAAATAAAATTGATGCCTTTGCTACCATTACCACTTCTCACGATTGTTTGATGGGATTTTAATATCGTATTATTTTTCACCATAGACTGGCAAATAATTTTGATTTTGGGGACCCCTGACAGGGCCTTGGGGAACCCCCAGGGATCCTAGCACCACACTAAGAAACACTGTTTTAGGAAACTCCATTCCACATCAGAGGCTGTTAACATCAGTTGAGAAATGTGCAAGGTTTTACCTCTTGGCTAGTTGTCTCAATTGCTCCGCACATGTACTGTCTGATTTGTGCTGCACTAATTCCAGGATATTCATGGTTCTGTGGAAGTGTCCACATGATAAGCTAACGCTTACTGCTGTTTCATGCTTGTCTCCAGTAAGCACCCACACTTTAATACCTGCCAGTCGGAGAGCTTCTATGGTTTCCTGGACTTTATCTTGCAGCCTAAAAGTAAGTAAACTGTATTGGTAAACAATATCAGAACTGATTAGTCAGGATCATGTCATGACTCTGCTTAGATGTTGTAGCACAGCCACGTTAGTCTATGTTAGCCAAAAATCAGGAGGAGTCTGGTAGCCCCTTTTCAGACTAACAATTTTTTTTCAAAGGTGTTTCCTGAACTACAGCTCTGATGAAGATGGATGTGATGAAGTGAGCTGTAGTTCAGGAAAGCTTATACCTTTGAATAAATTTCCTTTGTCTGAAAAGGGGCTACCAGACTCCTTCTGATTTTTGACTTTGCTTAGGTTATTCTGTTTTCATGATTAATGGTAACGGTGGAAGGGTTTGCCTTCCAACCACTGGATGTTATATTCAAGCACCACTTCAGCTTTGGGTATTTCATTGTAATCTAACCATCACGTGCACTCACCAAGCTTGCCGTTTACACCAATCCACTTCCATATTCCATGAAGCAACAACTTTACTTAAGAAACTATGTTCAGTTTTAGGTTCAGGTGCCTAACAGTAGGGGTAACACCTAGTGACTTTGGCTGATCTTGAAAAAAAAGCTAAGTAGGATTGGACCTGGTTAGTGCTCAGATAGGAGATCACCAGGAAATCCTACAGTATAGGCTAGACTAGGAGGTTGGAAACAAACAAGCATCCCCAAAGAATGCTATGGCAAACTACTTCCGTACTGTGGTGAAGAAAATGTCACTAGGAATTGAATTTTACTTGCATTTTTACCTTCATGCAGTCTAAAACATGTCTAGGCTACCAATAGGATAGTCACACTTTCTACAAGTCAGATTTCATGACACAGGGAACATGCTGGTTAGCACAAGCTATATCTTATTAGGCTCAATTCCCAGTCTCACCACACTGACCCTTTTTCATACTGGTCACACACTGGGCCTGTTAAATACAAATTGCCATCCTCCTAGTTCATCTTCCATGATTGTGGGGTGGTGGGTACAGAGTCTTCCCTTTTTGAAGTGCAACGTGTTCTATTTATTTATTTGTCACATTTATATAGCCACCCATCTCACACAAAGCAACTCTGGGTGGCATACAACAATTAAATAAAATAACAAGTGGATAAAAACAAAAAGTAATAATTAAAATAAAAACATTATCAAAAATTTAAAATTTAGATAGTAATAATTAAAATAAAAACATTATCAAAAATTTAAAATTTAGATAGTAATAATTAAAATAAAAACATTATCAAAAATTTAAAATTTAGATAGTAATAATTAAAATAAAAACATTATCAAAAATTTAAAATTTAGATTTTAAAATATATAAACCCCACGGAGGGAGCAGAATATCAATTATGTTGGAGCCATCTAAGAATGTCTCCGGTTCCCAAAACCCCCCAGGCCTGATAACACAACCAGGTCTTGAGGGACTTCCTAAAAGACAGCAGGGAAGGGGAAAGCCTCACTTCAGGAGGGAGAATGTTCCACAAGGAGGGAGCCACGGCAGAGAAGGCCCACCTCCTAGGGACCACCAAATGCAAGTCCCTGGCCAATGGAATGCGTAGCGCCCCCTCCCTGCCAGATCTAATGGGACGGGCTGATGTAACGGGGGAGAGGTGGGCCCTCAAATAACCTGGCTGTCTAATCCTAACAAATAGGA